ACATGTTGATGATGAAGTCCGATTCCAGTAGTTTCCAGTTAGCTAGAATTCGTAGCTATGTGTTTTAAATTGAAGAGCACAGATTATGATGGTGATGACGATGATGATATCCCTGGTTCTCATGTGCGCAGATATTTTTCAATTTTTTTCACAGAAAGCTGCTTGCGTACTAGGTGGAACTTTTTTGATAAGTCTCTTTATCACTTTGTTTTTCAGATGGTGTATCCTGCATCTGTTTTCATTACGGGGGCAAACAGAGGTATTGGTCTTGGTTTTGTTCGTGAATTTTTGAAGATTCAATCTGTGAAGTTTGTGATTGCTGGTGCCAGGAATCCAGATAATGCAGAGGTAAATTTTTTGTGAAAACCTAGGGATCCTAGCAGGTAGAATTTGTAGTTTTCTGGAAGCAGTGTTCGCACGCGCTTGGTGTCGAACATTTGAGATAGGCCGATAGCGTCTCCTATAGCTTCGATTATCGCAGCATGTATCGTTGCAGATCTGCTGTACTGCTTACGCTGTGTAAATTTGGAATTCTCTAGGTAGAGAACCATACATATAGTCCATATCTCGCCGTCTGAGTAGGCGTGTCTACAGATGACGTGGCGGCCGCCGCACTTGGTAGAAGTCTCGTGGATAAGCTGCTTCCAGCACCTTTTGCTGATTCCAGCGAAGTATTTTGGAAGTAGCAATCCGCGCGACTTCTATCAAGTGCGGCGGCCGCACTTGATATAAGTCTTGTGGTCGAATAATGCGAACGGACGGTTGATCCTGGTGAGGGGCCTAGGACTAAGCCTTGGAGGAAGGAGAGCCTCCAGAGTGGGCAAGGCTATCACACTATGGTAAAGTTTGAATGTACCAGATCATAGAAATCTAATCATAAGCCGCTGTTTAGGCGAGAGAGCGCAGGCGAGATATCGTCAAGGCGGTTTAAAGGCAGAATTTACGATGAAAAGTTAGCTCATTGGAAATAAGGGTAGAGGTGGTCAGTGGAGCAGGAAATGAAGAAAGAACCATTTGAAACGGCCCGAAACCCGAGAAATGGGACCCCTTCCTTGCCCGTTGATTTGCGCATTGATGCGACTCTCATCCAGGGTCAACCGTGCGTTCGCACTATTCGAACGAGGGTTCGCATTTGTGGTTTTGGAAAGAGATGTTCGCATTCAGGGGTTGAGTGGGATTAGTAACTTGTTGAGCTAAGCTAGCGAGGCTATTTAGAGCTTTAGATTGGCTTTTTGTGGAATTTGGTGGATGTAAGTGGCGCAGCGTGAGGTAAGACAGGTGGGGTAGAGAAGAAAATTTGCCGTTCCATTGCACTGATACCTCGCTCCCCTCGCTCGTCGGTCCTTTTGGAGGGAAAAGTGGGCAAAGTTTGGGCGTGGACTGATCTCAGAATCAA